CGGGCCTGGCACTGGGCCTCGCGAGGAGCTGCCCCTGGGCACTTCCCTTGCCTGGCGTTCCCAAGTCTGGCATAAACAGCAGCAGGGCCGGGGAAGGTGCAGTACCTGGAAAACGGCGCTTTTAGTGGTGTAGTGGTGTGGTTGTTTTTTTGGTTTTTTTTTTTTTTTTCCTTTCCTTTTTAAACTTTGAGGGAGTCTCTGTGAAATCTAAACTCCTTATTTTAAGTGTTGTAACCAAGATGAACGTGGATAAACAGAACTGTCTTTGCAAGTGTATTTTAAATTGGTTTTGTGTCTTGTACATGCTTCTTTTCATAACACTTATGTTGTTTTTTTTATCTATGGAACTTACTGGCAGCTTTCAGCTTCTTTGAATTGTTTTGATGTTAACCCAGTACTGTGAAGATATGAATGACCTTGAACACTGAAAGAAGATTCCATGTATTTCGTTTGGAAATGCAATTGAATCAGTATACTCTTTTCCGAAGAACTTGCCTTTAGAAACTGCAAGATCAGAGCTGTATTCTGTACTCCCCTGCATGGCTATGAGAAAAATAATTTAAGAGCTCTGTGAAGTCAGTTTCTGCTTTTACATAAGCTGTTTACTTTAAAGGTGGTGGTGTTTGTTTGTTTTTGTTTTCTGTGGGTTTTTTTGCTTGGTTGCTTTCTGGAGTGCACTTCTGAGGTGAAATTTAGTTCAGTATTTAAGAAAGGTTTGAAACGTTACAGATGTGAGAAGTTAAAATCCTTCCTAGAGCAGTACACCTGCAGACTTCAGCTCATCTGAGCAGTGAGCTACAGTAGCAAGGCTTTTTTGTTTGCTTGCTTATTTTTTACTACTGCTATACGGGGCCTGTTGATACCTCATGTGCCGCCTGCGATATTGGCAGTGCTGCTGAAGCAGGCTTCAATACTCCTGATCATTCCTCATTATGCCTAGTGAGAACTTGTGCTGGCCTCTGTCCTGTTTGGGAAACTTTTTGGGGTGTATAATGTTTGTGGGGTGTTTGTCACAGATGTATCTATGATCAGAGATGTTCTTTTTTTCTATGTTAGGAAAGCAAGCTTATGTGAAAGATAAATATAAGTAATTGTTAAAACAAGCTATTTTTCTTGCTTGTTGATACTTGGTTAAGACCCTTTCTCTAGTAATTGGTCTGTGTAATTTCATTAGGTATTTATTGCACAGTCAAGAGCTTCTGGAAGCCACCGAGATGTTGAAGATGAGGAGCTGACACGAATCTTTGTTATGATACCAAAATCCTATACAGAGGAAGATCTGCGAGAGAAGTTTAAGGTACTGATTTGCTATTTGCTAAACATTGTCTTACATGGCCTTTGTCTTAATTTATCAGAAGGGCTTAGAGTATGGAATTTTAATGCATTTTCAAATATTGTAAATTAATACGCTTTTTAATTGTTCTAGATGTATGGAGACATTGAATATTGCAGCATTATTAAAAACAAGACTACTGGAGAAAGTAAAGGTTTGGGTTATGTGAGGTATTTAAAACCATCGCAAGCTGCCCGAGCAATTGAGGAGTGTGATCGAAGTAAGGATCTGAATTCTTTCAAGTTTTCCACAATAAGCATGTGTTATCATTAATGTAACTTTAATACTTAGGATTTTTTGTAGGTAAAGTATTCATATTGTAACACATTTGAGACAAAGTTCTATTGCAAATTAAAATTGGTGTTATTGATTTTCACTGAGCATAGTCATCTGACAACAGTTTTGCAGGACAAAACTGCAAGTGAGAGCAGTGAAAAAAGCATGGAAATGGAGACAGTTTTCTTTCATGCATTATTTTTGGCTTGCAGTACAGGCTTCGTACAACGGAAAATGTCATTCTAATGTGTCCCTAGGAATACGCTTTTTTAAATCAAATTATATAAAAAGAATTTATATATGAAAACATATTTGATAATCCGTAGGGCTTATGTTGTGATTACATTTATTTCAGAACAAATTCATTGTAATTGAAGATTGAGGCGTTTTGGTTGGTTGTGACTTTAGGTTTGGGCGTTGGTTTGGTTTGTTGTTTGGTCTTGGTTTTTTTTCATTTATTGTTATGATTAATGTGTTGCAGAATGAAAGACTCTGTATGCTTTATGACCAACTACTTGTCATTTGTGCTCTACTACTAAAAAGGAGTTAATGAATTTGAGTGAGTCTGGTGGAAGGCCATCAAGGTGGTCAGGGGCTGAAGCATGTAACTTATGAGGAGAGATGGAGGGAACTGGGCTTGCTCATCCAGGAGGAGAAAGGCTTTTGGGGAAACCTAAGAGCAGCCTTCCTTTGCAATGTCTGCTTAATCAGAAAGAATTTGGGGTGTGGGTGTCATATTTTTGTTTCTTTTGTTTTGGCTTTCTTGTTGATTTTTATTTTTCCAGCAACATACATGGTGGTTCTACATATCATCTATCATGACTGTTTCTACAAAAATTATACTCATAACAATTTTTGCATAGGAATCCGAGTCCAAGGTTACTTAGCAGTTAAATTTTATTTCCTTTTTGCTGTGAAGTTAAAATGAAATTATTTGGATAGTCTGAGAGTAATACATGTTTCTTTCATAAAAGCAAAAGCTAGGTAAGTGCAAACCAAACTGCTGTTACAGTGTGGTAGTTCAGGTGATTGCCTCTGGACTGTCTCTGATGGCTGCCAAGGGTCACAGAATGGTTGCAGTTGAAAGGGACCTCTGGAGTTTATTTTACACAACCCCTCTACTCCATCAGGGACACTCTGTGGTTACCCTGGACCATGTCCAGATAGCTTATGAGTATCTCCAAGGGTGGAGGCTTCAGAACCTCTCTGGGCAGGCTGTGCCACTGCTCAGTCACTCACAGCAAGTGGGCTCTACGGTGCTTTACTTGTGACTAGGAGTAGCTCTATATGAAAATTGTTAACTCTCACACAATTACTATGTCAGACTTCAAGAGTTATAGATCAGTTATTTTCCTAAAGCCAGGACTTACTGTTTTTTTTCTGAGTAATTTGTTTCTAAATATGGAGAATACAGATCTGTTCACATAAATCAGATGTGCAGAGGTGTTGCTGTATGTGTGGTTGTTTCTTTCAGGCTACAGGGCCATTTTGGCTGAACCCAAAAATAAGTCATCTGAGTCTTTTGAACACGATTATTACAGTAATAACATGAGGCAAGAACCAAGAGGAAATACGCTTCCATTTTGTAAGTCACAGCTTTTTATAGTAAAATAATTTCTGGTCTTGAGGATGGTCACAAAGTAAGAATGCAGTTTTGAAGAAGGGAAGGTAATGGAGGCTGAGGTCAACACTTTAGTAGATTGGATGTTGGAGGTGGGAATGAGCTAGGCATTCAGTGTTTATATTTTTATGGCTCGTTTTGTTCTAGTTGGCTGATTGTTTTGTGACCTGCATTGGTGAAATAAACATGTTGCCTTTAGTCTATGATTGCCTAAGATTACTTCTAAAATTTCAATGAAAAATATGTATGAAATGAAGGCACACTAATGTTGTGACTCAAATAATTTATTTTTATGTTGATTCTTGAGGTGGGCAGCCAGAGTTTTGTAGTTTTGAAAAAAATGAGAGCAGAATTCAAGAGTCAGTCTCCAAACGTCTGTCAGTGGTATCACGGCTTCCCTTTATCCAAGAGCAGCTGTTTGCCCTCTTTGATCTAATTCCAGGGCTGGAATATTGTGATGTTCAACGAGATCCTCACACCAATAGTGGTAAGTAAAAGTACAAAAATATGTATATATATATTTATGTCTTTGAAGGGAGTGCCTTTTCATTGTACTTAATTTCTTTTGCAAAAAATAAAGTACACTTGTTGGAAGGAATTAATGTTTTGTGTATCAATGGCTGCTGCTATCGATGCAAAAACTCAAGTTTGTTTGAAAACCTGTTTATAGATAGCCTTAAATACCTGTATTTTCAGAAAATAGAAGAATTCTCAAGAAGGATAGACTCAAAACCATGAGAACTGGCTTTTGGTGAAGTTAATAGTTTGGGGCAAAATAAATGGATAAAAAAATTTCAAAAATTATTAGACATCTAGTTTAAATGTTCTCTAAGTGGATCTTTTGAGTTATCTTGTAATGGCAGGGGAGGTGTCAGTGTGTAGAAGCTGACATGAGTAAACTGGATTAAATCAGTCCAAAACAAGTTGTACTTTATATTGCAAGGATTGTTTTAGTTACAGTCTTGTTTGGCTGTTGCTGAGAAAAAGGTGGAAGAGGTATTTTCTCAAGAGAAACTTGAAATAGAATTTTATTCAGAGATTTAAAATGTAACTTTGCAGAACTTGAGATTTGCTCTTGATGGGATGATTGCATTTTAAAATAAATCAGTATATGTTTTTGTTTCAGGGTTAGGGAGAAAAATGTTTTCACTTGTGTTGGTTTATTATCAGTTTTTCGGGTCAGCGTAAATACAGCTGATCTGTCACTAATTAATTCCCCCGACATTTTCTTTGTAATGTACTCCATGGTAAAAAGACTTTAAGAATTTGGAGTCATGCCTGACTAAGGTGCAATGTAATGATATTGCTTTCTATGAGTGCAGTTTGTTCTCAGGATATACCCATGTTTGCAGGGTACGCTGTGATTCAGTACAGTACTGCTGCCTCGGCTGTATACGCCAAGTACAAACTACACGGCTTTGAGTATCCCCCTGGGAATCGTTTAACTGTTGTGTTCCTAGAAGATGGGAGTGATAGCTCAGAGTAAGTACCAATGCATAGAGACAGAAAGTTGTTAAGTTGTCTTCTGGAGAGCAAAATTTAAAATAAATTTGGGTTTTTTTAAGGTAAGGAGTAACAACAACATCACTATGATCTTGTTTTGTATTTGTTAATAGTACTTTCTGAAGTTCAGGTGGTTTGTTTTCTTTTCTTAAATGGCTTAGGATAAGTCTTTTGAAACTTACTTGTCTTAGATAAATAAAAGATTAAAATATATATCCTTAAGATACCTTGGAAACTCTTGGATTCGGCAGGATTCTTTGTAAATGCCTGTGTAATACGTAACAAGGCTGGAATGTGTTTTTTGATGAGGTCTTTGTATTAAACCCATATTTATCTGCTTGATCTCTTGGTTGTGTTTGCAGTATTGCAAATAGTAGCCTTGTGAAGCACATGGGCATAGTAAAACTGCTGGGTGCTGGGAATCTGATACCAAAAATCTGATGGGGACCATCGGGGTTTACTTTGACCATCTCTAATCTGTTCCTGTGATTTGAATGCCCATTAAAAGTTGGCGTGGCTTGGGTACGCTCTCCTGCAGTGAATATTTTGGCTTAGTTACATCCTAAAGGAATTTAGTTCATGTCAAACCTGTTCTGGGATATGAATGAGGACGGGCAAGAGGGACAAGGGGGAAATTCACTTTAGAAGTGCATGCCTGATCTAAACTAAAAAAAGTGTTTATTGCAACTGTCCTCCTTGCAGACGTTTTCTTTCGTTCTTCAGTAATTCCTGCTCTTTCATGGTTGATGACACAGGCTGTGAATCTCTGCAGAGAATGCAGTTTGGTTTTGTTATTCCACCAGAGAACAAGGGAAAACTACTGGAAAATGAGAGCTGGAAGTCAACTTGCTGTGATAATATTCTGACTTTGGATTTGATTCTCTGTGCTTTTTGTTGAAATAGGTGAAATTTTTCTGTCCATTCTACTATTTGGACAACTTTCACAAAATGTATTGGGCTCTGCAGAGTTAATTTTTTTTTTTTTTTTCTTGTAGAGTATTAAAGGCAAAGAAGAGTTTTTTGCATCTCTGCATGTAGAAACGTAGGAGTGTTCTCAGTGAGTTGCAGCTAGCACGTGTCCTTTCGGATCGTGTCTAGTGTCATGAACACCTAACTTGGTTTTAGTGATCTCCACGAGTTTACAGATTTCCAGGGATACTTTTAGATGTGCGTTAAAAGTTTTCTGTTGCTGAATTTAAGATTACCATAGCTTAGCTCTTTTTTTAAAACAGTTTATCCTCACTTCTGCTTGCAGCCTCATCAGAAAAATGGCAACTCAGCTGGTAACAGCACACGTGTCATCAGTGCTGCGGAACAACAGTGCAGTTGTTCAGCAGTATAGGACCCCTCCTGTAAGTTAATGTCACAGATACTGAATTGTTGTAAGAAACTTCAGATATGTTGATAAAGAACACTGTTTACTTTCTTCTGTAATGGTTTCAGATGCTCCATTTTTTAAGATGTACCTCTAATTGGTTTGTACATTTTTATTCGTTGTAAAGTTGTCTGAGCCTGCTTGGATATATTGTCCAGTTTAATGAAATAACCAAAGTAAACAAATTAAGATGAGAACTGTATAGCCTGTGTACATCCTGTGACTTTTTCCTCCCCATCAGTGAATTTATATTTGCCCTCCCCCTCCCTTGTCCGCAGGCATTTGTAGGAACTTCTGGTTCACAGTTACTTCAGCCTCAAACAGATGCCATACTTCCACCACACAAAAAAAAAGTTCCACCTGACACTACTGTGAAGGAAAGGCTTTTCATACTTTTTCATCCCCATCCTTTACCTGTGAATGTATTGGAGGATGTGTTCTGGTAAGACTCCATTTACAAATAAGTGTTCTCTAATAAAAGAAACACAAATTTTTATAAATTAAAACCCCCATATTTAAAATAATTATCGTCATAATGAAAATAAATAAGATCGTCATAATGAAAACTTTCCAGAAAAGACATTGCACAGTAATAAATAAGTGATCAACAGGTAACAGTTGCTTTTTGAAACAAGTGTGTAATGGAATTAATAGTGCAGCATTGATGCAGTGTCATCAGAACAGCAGTTTTATTATTGATTAACATAATGTAAAGTAAAAAGTCTAGTCTCTTAACATTTTTAAATCAAAAAAATGTAGTAGTTCTGGTTCTTTATAGCCTATGCTTTTTTGGCATTTTCTTGTACATAATTCCATAAGGAAATTAAAAACTTTGATAAATTTCCCTCAGTAACTTAGGGTTTGATGGTTTGCATCTTACTGATACTATTTTAGCTGTCATTTGACACTACCTCCCTATGAGTAGCAGGACTTGAGAGACAATTTTTGCAACCTTTAAGACAAATCTATAGTTCAGCTGTTCTCCAGTATTTTATATTATTTATTTCTACTGAAGAAAAAGACATTTCCCTTTTCTAGTAGCTGGTACTTGAAATTAATGTTTGGAAAGTGCAGGATATTTTATTTGCACTTATGTGGAATTTAAAATTGTACCTAAATTAAAAATTGTACCTATTTGATACACTGGACTTTCTTAATCAGATATTGGAGAAGAAAAAGGCTATGCATCCAAGTCTTGACTCCTGTATAACTTTTGGTACAAATCAAGCAGATTTTATTTTTTAAAAATCTTTTTTTAAAGAACTGTCTAGGAATCTCCTGAGGACTTGGAAAGCTGTTTTTTTTTTTTTTTTTTCCATAAAGCTGTAGTGCTCTGAGTCATTTCAGTGAGACCTTTACAAAGATGAGTCACAAATGAGCAAATTAATTTAAATGAGATGCGAGTTAAACCAAAAAGAACACACACACAAACCAGCTTTGGAGGTTAATTTGGGTTTGTTTTTGTTTTTGTTTTCCTTTGAGTTAGTGTTTGGGGGCTATGGTATTAGTGAGCTTTACATATTCTTTTAAATAGGTGATAAATCACCGTTGCATGTGGTTCACTTGTAATATTCCATAGAAAACATTGCCTATGAACTTTTGGGTTTATTTCTATTCCTGCCTGGAATTCTAGAGAAGACAGTATGGAAGTTGGGAGTTTTGGAAGAGGGCAACACAAGAAAATATAGCATACATACGAGAGTATAGTTTTCGCAGCTACCAAATCATATATACTTCAGGTCAGATAATGGATATTTATCTTGTAGCAAAACCAGTAAATTATCGGTTTGTTTTTTGTTGTTTTCTTCCCCAGTCGTTTTGGACACTTGATAAAAGTTTACCTTGTGGCTGGGAAGAACGTGGGCTATGCGAAGTTTGCAGACAGGGCCAGTGCCAGCGACGCCATCACGGCGTTACACGGCAGGACGGTGAACGGCGTGCGGCTGAAGGTGAGGCTGGCGGACGCGCCCACGGAAGAGTCCAACAAGCGCCAGAGGACCTACTGAGCAGGTGAGTACCCAGTCTGAGCTGCCACCTACACTGAACTTCAGCTCTTGAAACAGTGATAGGCGAGCGATTTTGAAATGAGATATGAGCACGTGAGGATAAACTTTAAATCTATTTTCAGCTAACAGCTTGAAATGGAACTTGTGACTTATGTGCGTGAATACGTACACGTATAGCTGGGTGTGTGCATGCTTACATATGCATACCTACATGCTATTTTATAAAAATCTATTTTTACAATTTTCAAACAAACACGAACCAGTTGATTAAGATCAATCTGGATGTTCATAGAAATACTCACTTTATGTATATAGGAGTATCAGTTAATATTTGAAAAAGTATGCAAAAATAAACAATGGAACTGAGATCAGCTTGTGTGTGTCTTTCTTTCACCATGCCATCACGATGGTGTTGGACAAAAATGCAGAGTTCAGCCTTTGAAGGGCAGAGGAGGGAGGGAGTAAATAAAAAAGGGAAGGGGTAAATAAAAAAGGGCAGGGGAAGTTTGCCAGGTGAACCTGAAGGTTTGGGATATTTGGGCTGTTTGGATTCTCAGCAGTCAGGTGTAGTATGGAATGTGGCTGGCACATATGGTAGTCAAGATGATATTGCAGAGCCTGTTGTGGAGAGATTGAGGTATATAAGATAATTAGTTCGAGAATTTATTAGTTGATGCTTATGGCTTCTGAAAGATGGCTGAACTCCTAGAAAGGTTTTTGTAGACTTCAGGGCCCAAAATTCCCTTGCTTTTTAAAACACTGTTTTGTTTCAAGTGATTTTTTTTTTTTTTTAAATTTTTTTTCTTTTTAACATCAGGGCTATTGCCAAAAGAGAAATATGGTTGGAGGAAAGGCAAAGCCCTGTTTTCCACAAAACAATACCCCAATATTACTGTAGCTTCCAAATAATTTGTGTAGCCATATTTTCTTTATAGAGGTTTTGCTTCAGAAAACATAACATGAAATTCTGACTCTTTGCATTGGTATTTTACTTCAAAGCTTAATTTGCTCCTTGTCCATTTCTTTGTGTAGATATTCTTTGTGACCCAGCAGTTGCAAAGACCAAAAAAGATTTTGCCCACAGTGTTCTTTTCCTCCTTTTTTTCTTAAGGACTTTCAGGTTGTTCTTTTGAAAAGCAGCAGTTACTAAAAGAGGCATTAGTCTTTATACACAACTTTTTTTTTTTTTTTTTTGAAAAAAAAAAAGATTTCTAGCATTTTTTTTTTTCAGCATTGAATTGTAGCTAAAACTTATTTGAAACTTTTTTTGATCAGTACCTCTGGTGTATGTAATTTAAGTAAATTGTACCCATGCTCTTTTCTTTGTACAAAGGTTTTGTTTGTTTTTGATGTGACTTTTACCTCCAGGAATAAAAGGGCAGCCTTTGGTCACTAAAGGAAAAACTGTGATGTAAAGTGCAAGGTCTACCTTATCTACACTTCTCTAGTTACAAAGTAGTCATGATATGCATTGAAAATGAGAAAGATGATTTATCTTTTTCTTTGCTTTTAAGAAAGATAAGAATGAGAACACCAGGAGGTTCTCTTCTGATTATCAATCTAAAAACCTGGGGTTTTTTTTATTCACCAAGTCACATGTGCATGCATACACAAACTTGCATTTTTCCAGTGTCATTTTTGAGAAGATTCTTTAAGGACTCCAGCTGACAAAAGGTGTAATTGGTGATTAAATAGGATTTTCAAAAGGCTAAAACTTACTTATATTTCAAATTATGTTTGAAAATTCTAATATATATCTATTATTGAGTATTTGGAAACCTAACTCCTTTATAAACTGAGGACAAGACATAAGCATTTACTATTGTGCCATTTTACTTAATTAGAAAACTGGAGAAATAAGGTCATACTTGAAGAAGAATCTTTTTACACATGCAATACTATAGCAGAGCTCTCTGTCCCTTCTAAGGTTTTGCATTTCTGTAAATTTTCAAATAATAAAGAGTACTACTTTTAGTTTGTTTGAAGATGGATACCCTAAATCTGTCTTGGACAGATTACTTGTAATTCTGATGCCAATGACTGGTGAATATTTTCCCCTATTCAGCCTTTCACCTACTGTGTCTGGGCAATAACACAGGTAGAATAACTTTCTAAATCTACTGTTACATCTTGCTGCGTGCTGTACATCAGGTTCCTGATTCTGAGTTTCTTAGCAGGTTGTCTTAGCATTATCTCTTCTCAGGATAGACAGACAAAATAATTTGCTTTCTTTTTGTCCTTTAGCCAGTTTCCCGAGTTCAAACTGTGGTACATAAAAAGATTCCGTATGTGCTCCTTTTTAAAAGGGCTTGCCTGTTTAAAGAAAACTTAACACTGTGTCACTCTGCTTTGGACTGACTGGCAAGTTTTGCAGTAGCTTACAGGCTGTATATTTTGCTTTCAGTTAAAGCTTTTAATTGTGCATGTGAAAGTGGATGGAATTCTCTCTACCTCTGAAATAGTAGTTTGGAATTTTTTTTCAGATGTGAGAATGTTAACTACTGTTCTTTTTTAATTCCAACTGCAAGAAACAATTTTAACTAAAACTTCTGTGACTTTTGCTTAAGGAAGTCTTTGCCTCTTAAAAAAATAAAATCCTTTCTGAAGTCCTGTTGGATCGCTTGCCATTTATCTCTAACAAGGTGACTGGGTTTCTGCAATAGTCCTCCAAGGTTCTCTGATGAAAATCTATGATAAGATCTGTGATTTCAATAGGCTCTGTATGAAAATAAATTTAATTCCATTTAGGTAAAATATTTATTTCAATGCAGTTTTTATCTGACTTCTTTAAGTTGTTTTCCTGAATAATAAATCGTCTTTTAAAAAATATAATTTACAAAATTGTTTCTTAAAATAATGCTTCATGGCAATGGTATGCTCCTGATAATGCTCTTGCAATGTAAACTTCTAATCATAAGAACAATCTGTTATTTTTACAACAACTGTTGCTTATCAGAAGAATTTGAATACAAGTGTATTAATATTTAAAACTAAGCCATCTAATGAATTTTGCAGGCTCTGGCTCTCCTACGAGTCAATGAAAATGCAATTGTTTCTATGAGTAATTAAAAGTAACAGAAATGATGGAAATACAGACCAATAAACTTTCCTTAACTACTTTAAGTACCAATGTAAGTTTTTTTTGGGGGGGATGAGTTTCTTCCATTTTATGCTAAGTATTAGTGGTTGAAATAATCACTTTGAGCCATCTTGCTTTTGACTCAGTGTAGGCTTAAGACAACTACAGTATCTACTTCTAGGCAGTTGCTAAAAGCAGAAGCTATCTCAATGTTCTTGGTGTTGACCAGCTTGTCAAGAACCTCTCTGCTTGGGTTTTTTTGCATTGCGTTGAGTATTCTGTGAGAACCTCACTGCAATTACCTGATGCTGGTAGTATCAATTACATCGCTCAAAAGCAGAAGAGGAAGGAAAGAATTTGGTACCTGTCAGAAGAATGTACTGTGGAATTTCAGTAAATCTCTTAATTGCAACCTAGTAGCTCTATTTAAAGACCACCCCCAAAGAAACACAGCCCCACAAACAAACCCCACCCCAATCACTTTTCATGAAGCCTTCAAGTAGTCCTTAAAAAGGAGAGCTTCTAACTAGCACTGTATTAGAAATGCAAGACACAGATATCTAAGGCTGGATTCTGTGGCTCTTAATTGCTGATTGGCTTTAACCTATAGCAAATGGATTAATTACATTTTTCCCCTTCTGAAAATGTTTGGTGGTGTTTTTAAATAATTATTTAGTTACTAAGTTGAAAAACATTGTCAGGAAATACTTGATTATTGTTGTCTTTTATTATCCTCTTCCTGAAAAGTTCTGAATTGCTGGTTGGATTTACATTCATATTTTAGTTAAAACTTTATTAAAATCCTGGTTTAACATGTATATTTATGATTTATTTCTGTACACAAATGTATCATAGTTGAAATGTACTCCAGAACAAAGAAAATTTAACTATACTTTGTATCACCAGTATACTGCAGAAAAATTGCTGACTTCCACACACTGCTCAGAAAAAGAGGTACTTCTTTAAAATCTAGAGAAGCATATATAAAATTTTAATATTATTCTAAATATATTAAGAGCCTTATTTATATACTGTTGTAATCATTTTGCTTTCTAATATATATATTTTTAAAAATAAAAAGAGGTATGTTGCTTTTTGATACTGTTTTTGTACTTGTGTTTTTTCTACAGAAACTAAATAATGACATGTCCCTCAGCTAGCTGACTGACTGACTGAAAACGTGACTAGACATGGTTCCTGTGGACAGTGACAGCTTTTTTTAATTGCTACTTAGTTGATCTTCTCTCTCTATATATGGTACTTTTCTGGTTTTTAAAATTCAGACATGCAGTTTTGAAAATTATCTAGGCATAAAAAAATTGTAAACTAGTGATTGTCCCTGTAGTAGTCTGTAATCTTGTGTTACAGAAGTCTCTTGTGCTTAACTGACTTCCTCCTCTAAGATGGAGATTACAAAGATGGGGGAAGTGAAGGAGCCAGCAGTGGCTTAACTGGTTAATTGATAACGATTCAGACTATAACTGTTAAAACAGAAGACGTTTCTCATGACCCAAATTGCATTCCCAACTGAAGTACAGCAGTAAATTAAAAGAAAAGGAAATAACTGTTTCAAAACCTGCTAGCAAACCTGACAGTGTTAAGCTAGATTTAAGAAAATAAGCTGTAATCAAGAAAAAGTACATTCTTAAATTTTGATTTGGGCCAAAAGTATTCGTTGTGCTTTGTATGCTGCTTAGAAAAAAAGGACATTTGACTGTGGGTTGGACTGCAGAGCTGCTTACATTTATCCTTTCTTATCTTGAGGTAATTTGGTCATAATTGTGGGGAAAATATGTACTCTAAGGGTAGTTTTCTTTGTTTTGAGGGGTTGGTAAATGGTTGGGATTTTTTTCTTTATAAAATATTTTCTTTTTGAGAAGCTTTCAATGCATGTGTTGCTGAATTGTCCAATTCTTAAGTA